CAGTATGTCTGTCTATCTGCTGGGATACAGTATATTTGTCTGTCTGTATGGATGCAGTATCTGTGCTGTAATCCCACCGAGTTTGGGCAGACTCTGAGAGACAGGGTAGAGGCACCGTTTCATTGATTTCGCACAATTTTGCCGAACCTGATTTTTTTAAGGTCAATTTTGAGTGAACATATCTCGGGCCACTCTTTACATAGATGAACTTATTAATGTGTTAGAAGATTAATTTATTTAGCTTCAAATTGGTAGCCCTATGCTGTATGAGTGGACAGTTTAACGTTTTAACACGATGTTTGGGAGATTACGTTTTCAAGTTTCTTTTCGACGCCTATGTATCTATGCATATTAATAATATTATGTTTATCCCAACTTTAAAAGGGTGGCAAGTCTTGGCTTGAGAATGTCCCACTTTAAGAGGAGTGATTTACCAGACCTTGAACCAGATGCCCCGATTCAGACAACAAAAGACTGCCCTTCTTGGAATCAGCACAGCCATCCAGAGATCATAAAGGATATCAGAGGAATGGTCAGCAGAGGAGTAATATCCAAGAGCCAGACACACCACCTGACTCAAGTCATGCTCAGAGAGAAGTACTCACCAGATCAGTGGATCAGAGCATTCATAGATGGATCAGCCACGAAAGCATCAAGAGACGGAGGTGGGGGTATCTACATAGAGTGGCTTGACGAAACAAGTTCCAGCATCAGCATACCAACAGGAAAATACTCCGCCCACTATAACGCAGAGACAGAAGCTCTCCAAGAGGCAGCCAAGGTGCTCGGAAACAGTGAGGCCTCACCCAAGGCGAAAGTGGTACTTTTGACCGACGCAAAATCAGTCATAGTTCTACAATCCCTGGAGAACAACAAGAGTACTGAACTCAATGACAATACCATAACAAGAGCTATCATGGCATTAATAAACTCTACACTCAGCAGAGTTGTCTTGCAATGGATTCCTGGGCACGTCGGCATTATTTGGAAAAGAATGTGCCGACGAACTGGCGAGGAAAAGAGGACAAATGAAACTAACCCATCCCAGCCCCAACTACCAAGAGGCTAAAACACTCAATTCAGCAATCCCTTCCCAATGGAACGAGACGCACCCACAGCACAGAAGAAAGGACCCAATCTACCAACTCCCAAGAGCCGACCAAGCGGCAATTTTCAAACTCAGAACAGTGCACAATTATAATAGGCTGAAGTATCACATTTTCTCCCAATACAAGATCGGTGATGGACCCAACTGTCTTTGCAGTGCGAGCCGCCAAGATGCACAGCATATAAAAACTATTCTCCAGGGCTGCCCACTACTGGATACGGCAAGACAAAAATACCCTGGCCTCAACCCATGGACATGTACCAAAAGCTGTATGGCAGTCTTCTCGACCTCGGAATCACTGCAGAGTTCATCAACTCTTCAGCACTCACCATCTAATCGAAGAAGAAGAAGAAGAAGAAGAAGAAGAAGAAGAAGAAGAAGAAGAAGAAGAAGAAGAAGAAGAAGAAGAAGAAGAAGAAGAAGAAGAAAAAGAAGAAGAAGAAGAAGAAGAAGAAGAAGAAGAAGAAGAAGAAGAAGAAGAAGAAGAAGAAGAAGAAGAAGGGGAAGGAGGAGAAGGAGAAGGAGGAGGAGGAGAAGGAGGAGGAGGAGGAGGAGGAGGAGGAGGAGGAGGAGGAGGAGGAGGAGGAGGAGAAGAAGAAGAAGAAGAAGAAGAAGAAGAGGAAAAGGAAGAAGAAGGAGAAGAAGAAGGGGAAGAAGAAGGAGGAGAAGAAGGAGGAGGAGATGGAGGAGGAGGAGGGGGAGGAGGAGGAGAGAGGTGGCAGGTCTTGGACCACTAACCTAAAATGAAAACTAAAATAGTAGTAAGTAACTATCCCGTAGCCTGCATGTCCATCGGGGCGCTTTTGAAGATTTGGCCACCAGCTTTCTCTACTCCTTCCGGTCTCGCTTTCCTGGGCGTGTCTTTTGAGTTCCAGGATTCCTAAGTTGTCCTCCCAACTCTTCTTCGGTCTACCTCTGCTCCTTTTTCCATGGACGCTGCCTTACAAGACAATCTTGGCAAGGCCGGATGAACGGGTGATGTGTCCATACCATTGCAGTTTGCGTTTCCTGACCAGAGTGGTCAGGATATGGTCCAGTTTCATTTTTGATCCGTAGTTTGACTTCATCATCTGTGATGTGATCTTTGTATAAGATACCAAAGATTTTTTCGGAAGAATCTCATCTCCACAGCTTTGCTCCATCTTTCAAGGTCTGCGTTCAAGGCCCAGGATTCACACATGCCTGGATGCCCACTGAGATGTTCTTGTTTCTGTTAAACATCAGTGAAAACTAAAAGAAAACTGAAATTAGATCTGTAAGTCTACAGATCATATATGCCTACTTTGAACATGAGAAAGTACAAAAAACTGTTTTTAATCTAATGTCTAAAATATCTAATGTATGTTTTTTCTTACGTGTTTGTGTGTGTGTGTGTGTGTGTGTGTGTGTGTGTGTGTGTGTGTGTGTGTGTTTGTGCGTACATGTGTGTGTGTGTTAGTTTGTGTGCGTTTGTGTGTGTGTTTTTATTTTTTCTTGTCGATTTTACAGAGGAACTGATGATGTGTATTAGGTAATCAACTATTTTACTGAAGTGAAAGCAGTAATCTTACGCAACAAAAGCCAATGATCGATACAATAATACAAAATAATAAATGTTTGAACAGAACTATAAGCATATTTTTTTCACATAGTTAACAAAGTAAATGTAATGTTACATGGTACAAAGACACGAGAGCAAAAATGGTTTGCTTTTGATCAATTAGCCCATAATCCAACAACAAAATGTGAACTGTGAAGCCCACACATAAAAGGATAACTGTTTTTTAGAAGGTTATTTACAAAACACTTAAATTGTTCAAATTGCATGCTGTGAAACTGACCAAATTAGACCGATGTTATGAGTACATTATAGGGGCATCATTTAAACTGGGCCTCTAATTCTAAAGGAATGTTCCTACATCGTTCATCATTATCATTCCCTTCTCATCCTGCACCAGGGTATAGGCCACGGACAAACACTTTCCACCTTTCTTTATCTTGGGCTAACCTCTTGATGTTATTCCATATCGTCCCACTTTTCTGTACATCAATTTCTGTTATTCTTCTCCAGGTTCCACGCGGTCTTCCCCCTTGATTTTTTGCCCTGTGGATTCCAATCCAACACTTTTCTTTGTTAAGCAGTTGCCTGGCTTCCAGAGAGTATGTCCAATCCATCGCCACTGACTTAACTAATTCCTACCTCATCTCTGACTGGGATCTGTCTTGTTTTCCTTAACACTTCCTCATTGGTGACCTTGTCTGATCCTCAGTAACTTTCTTAGACACTAGTTCAAGAAAAACCTGATCCTCTTTATACAAGTAATACAAGTCTGTGTCTCACATCCAAACAACAACATCACTGACTTCACATTTGAATTGAAAATCCTCAGCTTTTTTCAAAGTGGGATATCTCTAGTCTTCCAAATTCTATCCAAAGATATATGAATGCAGCCTGTGCTTTTCCAATGCGAGACTTTATTTCAGCACCCGTTCCTCCCTCTCTGTCTATTATACTCCCAATTAAGATAGCAGAAGGATTCAATGTCTTCTAGTGCATTTCCTTCCATTGTGACCTGCACCTTTCGTTGTGCCTCTGTCCATAGGACCTTTGAGTTTGACTTTCCGGGATGGATCCTCAATATAACAGACTCTGATATAATTATCCCAGTTGGATCCTCAATCCAACTGACTCTGATAGGCTGTTTAATTCTGAAGTCTTTGCTTGCATCTGTTCCTGTGTGGGCGACAGAAGCGCTAATAAGTCGTCCGCAAAATCCAAATTAGGCGGATATGTAATGAGTACGTTATATATTGGCCTACATTTAAACTGGGTCTCTAATTCTAAAAGAATAATATGTTCCAACAGTGTTCAGAACATGTAAATTTTTTTTTTAATCAATAACCAGTCAGTGTAGTACTTGTGGATTTTTCATGGAACTAGATTCAGAAGCAGCTAATCTGTTGGGGATAAAAATTCTGCTCCTGAATAGTTGACTTTACGACTGGTTGACCTGCTCCACCTACGGAAATTCCCGGTAAAGGGCAAATCTTCTTTCGTTTTCGTGGTGCTGAAAAGGGAATTCCCCAACACTTGTCAACAACATGGACGCGAAGGTGGTTACCCAGTGGGGCCTAACTGGTTGACCCGATGGTTTCAGCAGTGTCCAACGACACATCAAGATCGATAGGTACCAGGAAGAATAATAAGGTGATATTTTAAATGGCGCACTGTGCGTGTGTGCAGTAGGAGTCCAGCCTCTACGAGTAGGAGCCTCGAAGATGACGAAGGTGCGCTAGATAAGATAGGAAATAAAGATTTTTTTCTCCGGACTGTGGCCTAAAATAAAACCTCTTCGCTGTTCAAGTTCACGTTTTGGAAGACGACGCGAAAACTAGATTTAGATATAGATCTAATATCTAGTGACTAAACCTGGCCTAATCAATCCATTTTCATGATTGGAATTTTAACCCTAATTTAAATCTTTAATGCACGTCCCATTAAACTCTTTGCGTTATGTTGAGTTAGTTGGTCAGTCACCAAAAGTGACAATATATGAGTGCTAAAATTTAAATTTAAATGCTGTTTTTAAGCCTACCTTCTTTTGCATTGTAGTTGTAGACAATCTCAATAGATGCTTCATACTCATGTTGCATCAAGGTCAGAATGCAGGAGTGGAGTACCATAGGCTACGTGTTAGTGTTATGCAGAATAAAATGAGAATTATAGGCCTTAAACCTGAAATTTAAGTTACCCAGCAAAAGAACTTTAGTGTGACACCTCAACCATGGGCATTAAAAAGCTAGTAGTTCACATTCCTCCCCAAAACTACATCCACGTTCTGGATAAAAATACCAATGTGACCAGGATTGAAACAGGACCCTGCACATTCTTCAAAAATGAAAATATACGGTAAGACTTATAATAAAAGATTAAGATCGGAACAGTAGGTTATTGAGAGAGAGGGTGAAAAATTAAGAGAGAGAATGAGAGATACAGGTGTGGATGGGGCTCTCCGAGTGCTTACGTTAATTTCCTCATCCCCAAGGGGCAGTTTGAAATACTTTTTCATTAACTTGGCTGAACAAAAACTAATAAAATATAACTAGCACAGTATGAATGGTTCATACAAGGTTGCCCAACCTTATATCTCCAGCCTCATATTGCAACTTCGACGAGAAAAACTGAAGAGAATCCATTTATCTATGAAGTCTACGAACACTATTAAGAATAAGCTTACATTTCTTTGACATCTGTAGGCCTATCTCTCATTGTCTCTCTCTTTATTTCTCTCCCTCTCCCTGTCCCTCTCCCTGTCCCTCTCTCTCTCTCTCTCTCTCTCTCTCTCTCTCTCTCTCTCTCTCTCTCTCTCTCTCTCTCTCTCTCTCTCTCTCTCTCTCTCCATCCCTCACTCTCTCTTTCTGACTTCATCTTTTCCTCTCTCTCTTTCTGTCTTATAAACACACACAAACACTCACACACACACACACACACACACACACACACACACACACACACACGCACGCACATACCCATACACACACATATACAATCATAAACACACACAAAAACACACAAACAGACAAACACACACACACACACACACACACTCATTAAAAAAAGTCATTGTCTTAATTTCTCTCACACACCTTACTGCTCACACCAATACACAACTGACGGTTGTCAACTCTCATGTCACAGAGTTGTTTTCGGTCCGGTACCTATGGTGACCATCCCCCGTCACCACTACTGCGTGGTGGAAAGCCCGGTGTGCAGAGACAAGCATGGCGGACTGGTCAAGGGGGCACACGGGGACATCAAGCTGAAGCTTGGGGATACAGAGACACGCCTTTCTCAGGATCCCTTCCCTCTTTACCCAGGAGAAGTTCTGAAACAGGTAGGTATTTGATAGTTGTAAAGCCCTTAGCATGCTGTAAAACATGGATATGAACTATGTTAACATGCAATAATTATCATTATAATCATTATTATAATCATCATCATCATGATCATCATCATCATCATTATTATTATTATTATTATTATTATTATTATTATTATTATTATTATTATTATTATTATTTTTGTTTTTGTTTATTATTATTATTATTATAACATGTATTATTATTATTATTTATTATTATTATTATCATTATCATTATCATAATCATGATCATGCGTCACCATCATTATTTGATTTTATGTATTTTATTAATTTATTTTACAGTCACACTTACCAGCATTCGTGGTTCCACAGTTAAGCTCTTTGCCATCTCACACCGAAAACCTGAGTTTGATTCCCTAGTGGGGAGAATTTTTATCAAGTGTCTCCGTCTGACTTCTTTAATTTTTTATCTGTCTCAAACCGTGTTGGCCCGAAATGATCTAAACTGTGTTGATGGGAGTGTAACACATTTATACAGTCAATATTGCCTTAGACAACCCCTCCATTGTCAGGGGGAAAAGTGAGTTCCTTAGATTAGAGGACATCTTGGGCAGTGCCATTTTAATATTTGAAACTCCAAGTTGGAAATTGGAAGTGGCTGTTTGTACAGCTGATTGTGGACAGGTGATCGTTTGAGCAAGTTGGACAGTAGTTATAATTTAGATTACAGCTACCTTGAACAATTAAGAACAATGTTGGCAATAATGCAGCTTATAAAAAACATGGGGGGGGGGGGGGGGTATCTCCTTTTCAGGCTCTATAATCTATACTATGCCTGCTATCTAAAAGGGAGGGGGGGGGGGGTCCTCAAGTAAATATACTGTCACTATCACATGCAATCCACTGAAGTGCAAATTTTTAAGAATTTTTTTATTTTAACACCCCCCTATAGATCTAGCTCTATGAAAGACGCACCTTTCAACATCACCAAAATATTATAGTCAAGGCTAACAATTTCTTGCTTTTCATGATACCTAATAGAAACGACACAAAAAAAAACTAGTATTTGTCTCTGATGTAAAAAGTACCCAAACAGACTAAAGTGGTTAGCTTGTGACACTGACGATATGCAAATCTATTCCAGCAACATAATACAGTCGAACCTGCCCTGACGGCCACCTCTATAAGACGGCCACCCATACAAACGGCCACTTTCTATTTCCCCCCTTGCGTTTTTTCTATATAATTTAACTGTGTAAAACGGGCACCTGTCCAACGCGGCCGCGGCCACAATAATTTAACACACAACCCCTATAATACTAAGCAATAATACCTGTCTAAGACGGTCACCTTAGTGACTCCATTACGTTTTGTCATAAATTGTGCACTGGCCCCTGGCGTTGTGGGCGAGCCGTAATAATTCAATCACCTGTCGTTGTTGTTAGGTAGTCCCTCCAACCGATCATGTTGCGTAGGCCCCTCCCACTGTTGACCAATAGCTACCAATTTTCAGCTGCTGGTGAGGTAAGCGTATGATCCCTCATAACCCATAAGCACCGCCCAGAACTCATACACAAATCGTAAGTGAGATGAGTAGTTACTGTTTACCCAGTCTGTAACAAAGTAACAAAGGACGTCAACATGAACTTGTTACAGAAGCGTCCCTCGTTCTCCGAATGGCGGCAACCCACGTGTTTGTTTTAACATGGCACTCGGTCTTCCTTGTCTGACACATTTCGTTTTATTGTCACCATTGTGCAAAGTCAGCGACAAAATAAAAATTACAAACGAAATACAAACCATCAACAACAACACCAACAAAGACAACATAATGGGGCTACTTTCAATTGAGGCCTCAGATGGGAATGGTTTGTTTCCTTTATCTTGATCAGTCCTGCCTAAGACGGCCACCTGTCTTATACAGCCACTTTTCTCTTTGACAATGGGTGGCCATCTTACACAGGTTTGACTGTACTTGTAATTTATTTCCTTTTCAGACTGTCACTAAACTGCCTGTTGTAAATGAGTATTCAGCTTTCAAGATCTGTGCAGTGTGTGATTTCTTTGATGAAAACGGAGCAAAACGCAGTGCAGGAGACCAATGGCTTTTTCATGGCAAAGCTTATAAGGAGAACAGGAGCTTCTTACTTGAGTGTTGCAGCAACCAGGTGCTTGAACCATTCGTCATGACGTTTTGTAACTGTTTGCCAAAGGGCAGAATTCAGCAGCTTGTGGAGCCAGCAGTCATGAAGTTGAAGAGGAAAGCTGTGGTGTGGATAGGCTCTGCAAATATCAGAGAAGAATCTGTTTCTCCCATCTGCTACATTATTGCTTCTGTTGGTTTGGTGCTGTTTTTCCTACTGGTTCCCTCTGACAACGAACTGATGGTTTTCATTGTTGCTGAGATTTTGTTGGTCGGTTGGATGTTTATCAAGTTTTTTTGGGACAAGCTGGTGAAACGAAGAAACATATTGCAGCCTATCTCAAGTAAGTTTTCGTTTTTTCAAAGTAAACTCTTTCCAGATTTTCAAGAAATTATTAGTGCTTAATGTTTCTGATGCATTGTTTAAGCTTTATTTATGTTCAGTACTGACTTCAAGTTCAATAAATAATAAATCAAATCAAATCAGATCAGATCAAATATCTCTTTTACTGGACCCTGATCTGGGTCCCAATGGCAAGTGTGATGGATGCATAAATAATTCTAAAGTTAAGTCGAACACTGTCTGATACTCAAAACTGCACCAGTACGAAAAATATTACAAACACGCCATTGTTAAAGTTTGTTAAATAAAGAAAAGGTATTTCTGGTGTAACCACAATTTAAAAACTGATATTAATGAGGAAAAAATGATTATTCTTAAAGTGTTTGATTATTATTTTGGTTTTTCATTCTGCTTTTGACCATCAAAATTTATGTTTTAATGTCTAATTTTCTTCCTTTCTACAATTTTAGGCATATGCCTTCTTACTTTTTTTTGCCTTCTTTTCCTTTTGTCTTTTATCTTTTTGTTTCTATCATTCCTCCTCTCACTCCATTTTCTTTCTTCCTCTTTTTATTTTAGTTTTGGTCGACAAGCTAATGAATGTGTAAAAAAAATTAGTAGGCTACGGAAAAGATCAACAAAGCAATTTTTATACAAATTTTAATGGAAATAATAGCAGATTAAAAAAAAAACTCAGCTTTCATTTTAAGCATTCTTATGGAAAAAAAAATTTCAGGTACATTCTTGTAAAAACTTATTCTTGTAAAACCTTTCTTCAGATACATTCTTGTCATATATGTTTCCAGGTACTTTCATACCCAGGAAAGAGTGCAAACTTGTTTGTACTGTGAAGCCTGTCACATTTGGTTCTGACCAGGGCGTGCGTCTTCGGGCAAAGAGAGACTTGGTGGACAGGTCCGGTACACAACGCATGACCGGAGAAGAGTGGCTGGTCACTTGGAGAGACCCGTGGGTGCGGCAGTACAGAGTGTACCTTCCAGGGCCACATGAGCAGGTTGTAGGCATTGCTAATGCCTACACACTTTCGCCTATACATAAGGTTAGTTTTTTCAGGTGGTGTCGGTCAGTGGTCTAGTGGTTAGGCTACCGTACTCGTAATTGTGAGATTGCGGGTTTGGGGGTTCAGGTCTCAGGCCCAATGTTGTGTCCTTGGGAAACGCACTTTACATGAATTTTCCTCACTTCACTTAGGTGAGAACCGGTACCCAGCCATAGACAGTGAAAGATCTTGTAAGTATGTTTATGTTTAAGTGCCTATAAAAAGACAGCTTGCACTGTATGCTTCTCATGAAGTTGAGATTGTTCCAGAATTATATCAGGTCTGCTGGGATAATTTTTTGGATTGTACAGCGCATAGAGCTTGCTGTTGAGCAGGGATTTGGGTGATACAAATTCTGTCTATTATTAATATTATTATCAGAAAGAAGTAGCTGCTGAATTTTAAGGCAGTTTACTAAAGCAAAACTTTCAATGGCGCATGTTTTAGAGAGAATTATCTTGCTCTGAGCTTTATTTGATGGCAT